GGGGGTCGCTGAGAGCCTGGGTGGGGATGGACGTCAGGGCAAGTGAACAGTTTCTTTGTGAAAAATGGTCCCTTAACAGTCTCTCGCTTACGCTGACTGATGATTAGAGTGGCGAGATCTCAAAAAAAAGTCGTGCTTCTTAGGAGATAAAAATGTTGAATAAATGTAAGAGTAAATTGCCAAATCTGGAATGGTTTGGATTTCAGATATGAATAAGTTTTACACAGACATAAAAAAAAGTGATTTGTGAAACATTTAACAGAAAGCATTCATCAATAAGAAAAAAAATGAGAGAAAGTTGAAAAAGTAGGTTAACTTGTATGTTTACCAAAAACATGCTACTCTTGACAGGCAGGATTCAGCGTAAGCCAGACGTTACACCAGTGTTTCCATGAAGAGGCAGATGGTGGAGGAGCTAAGGAATGAACATTTATTGGGAGTATTGGTGAAGACATTGTTTTAAACAGTGCTCCTCTTCCCGTGGACTGAGGAGATACGTGCATTTTCTTCTGTGTTCTGCAAATATTTGTGGAAAGGAGAGGTTACTGCCAGACCAGATGCTCAGAACCAAACCCTGACTGCTGTTGGAATAAAATGTCTTTCCTTTATGCATACACATCCAAGGAGGGAGAAGCCAGCCTCGGGATTCAGGACAGCCTTTCATTTCTGGGCAGTGTGGCAGGCTTTGCAACCGGGCAGATCACACTTTTGCATTCTGCGAGCCGCGCGCCGAGACATTAATAGATAAGAATAAATCTCGTATGCTGGCAGTCTGCAAAAGCTTGGGTCACTGCAAGTCTTTGGACCTTTTAGTATGTTTTCATGTTTGTGATTGGGACACTGTTTTTCAGGGAAGATGAATAGGGTGTGGGGTGGTAGGCAGCACTCTCTCTGGCTCTTTCTCTTCCAGTTGTCACTGCAGTTGCAGGCACAGAGAGATGGGGGTGCCTTGTGTCTCTGAAGAACCCTGTATTCCCACCCTTGGAAAGATAGGGTGTGGTTGGGCCCCCAGGAAAGGCGGCTGAGGGTCCTCGGTTTAGACCCGGTCGGGCTCTGGTTCTGTGCCGAAGGAGCAAGCGGGGCCTTGAGCTCACACGCCGTCCAGTACCAGGCTCGGGGTAGCAGCCTCACTTGGGCCGTGCTCCTCATTTATAACAGAGAGGGTGCCGCTGACTGGTGCGTTCCTGGAGCGTGTCACTCTAGGAACTAAATATGAACTGGGATTTAGATTCCAGCCCTTACCATTGCTCTTAGCAAGGTGGTGACTGTTGGCTAGTGACAGCTCCCTGCCTTCAGGGCAGGTTCCTCGCGTCACATCCCCCACAGCGCGCTGTAGTCTGGCCTCTGCTTCCGCCAGTCTGATGGCACTTGTGCCAAGATGGCATATTTTAATTGTCTTATAATTGTCTTGTAATTTATAATAGTTTAAGACAGTCAAGTGTGACTACGTGGGTTTGAATCTCAGTTTTACCACTTACCTGACCTCTCCCTGCCTGTTTTCTTACCTGCATGATGCAATTGTGATTATTTCTTCATCGGCTTGCTGGGAGCTTACCTGAGTCAGTATGTGCAAGTGTTGAGAACAGGGCCTGGCTCACAGTAAGGTCTCAATAAATGCTTGATGATGTTGTTACTGCATTTTAATGTCTTTTACCAAGTGACAGTATGCTTCCTGACTGAACATGGCAGAATCTTCTTCAAGTGGGAGAAACAAAAGAAAATTATTGTGGAAATTTTGCTTGAGGTCATATCAGACTTCTGC